TTTTGTGAGATTGAGGTTGCCTAAGGAATCCCACTCGCATTACATAGATCAAATTTTCTTGCAGTGCCTAATTTGGTCACAATAAAATATAGGCCTAGTCCTAAACTCATTAAAAAAAAACCTGTGTATTTGGGATAGCCTAACTTTAGGAACAAAGCATTCTAACATTGAATTTTTGAATGTTTTGAAATTTTAAGGATCAGTATTATTATTCAAGTACGTTTCATTGGCAGAAATTTCAATCATAATACATTACGAAGCAAATACGTAACGTATGCAGGAATACTGGATCATGTAAATAGATACAACCGGCAACTCCAAATTTGTAATGGTCATGTGATGTTTGCTTGTTGTAACACTGCAGTTAATTTGAGAGGATAGGACAGAGCAATACAGGGGGTGGGCCCACCCCTCCCTAAATCTTTAAAAATAAATTTATATTGTAAAAAAAATGAGAAAAATAATTATGATTACATTTAAATTATATATAAATATAAATTACCTCATCCCATCCGTTGTCCTATGTAGTGTACGGCCCTCCATCTGTCGAATTTGTCCTCTTCCCCCCTCCCCCTCCTCCTTTTTGGAATCCCTAGATTGAGCATATGGTATGGTTTTAATGCAATATCATATGTACAGTAATCTTTTGTGAGATTGAGGTTGCCTAAGGAATCCCACTCGCATTACATAGATCAAATTTTCTTGCAGTGCCTAATTTGGTCACAATAAAATATAGGCCTAGTCCTAAACTCATTAAAAAAAAACCTGTGTATTTGGGATAGCCTAACTTTAGGAACAAAGCATTCTAACAGTGTTCCCCAAATTTTTCCAATCAACATTGTTATGCCTTATACTGAAGATACACTCAGAAGGAGCCATGTATTATCCTATATTCTTCAAGTGTCACTCACTGTATCTACAGTAATCGACAAACTAAAGGTCACATGATTTTGGTAGCCAATTGTGTCTATTGCTGGGACTTTTTCACACTGAATAAAATATAATGTATATTAAGGCTACAATATGACATCTCAAATTGCATGCTCTAGTTTGGGTTTTTTTTTCCTTTTTATTCGGACTAAATTTGTTATACAGTAACCTGATGGTATATTTTTGTTTTTTTAACATTTTTTTGTAGTTAAGAAATATTTATCACTAATCTAGGCATATTGTGGATTCTTTCTTTAACTTTGTTTTCTTCTGCAAGTCTCCGGATGGATCTGACCAGGCGAGGTGTCCACTCATCCATCGCTAACACCGCCGACAGGTGATGGTTTCAAAATATGAACAGTAAATTTAGTGTAAAATTTTGTAAATTTAGTTTTAGATTAAGATAAAAAGCGTGGTTGTTTTCAAGAAAATGACAAAAATCTGATTTTAAAAAGTGTTCCTTGCTTATAAATTTATTCAGATTTGATTGATAAACGTACATATGTTTCTGGTCATGTGATCAAAAATTAATTACTATAGTTTCTAGGGTATAAGCCCACCTCCTTTACATCCAATTTTAAATACCGATCTTTTTCCCTGGCAAAAGCCCAGGGTATAATTTGTAAGAGTATCTTAACTCACTTTTACTGCAAATACTCCTGAAAAAAATATCAGATGATGACTACTTTGCAGTAGTCATGCAGTGTGGATAAATTTTATGATCAAGGATTTTGGCTTGTACATACCAAAACTATGGTAATACTATCATGACTTTTTGTCGAAATTAATTTAGGCTTATCAATTAAATAATTTTGAATTATTTGATTGAAGTCTGCCTCAAGCTAAGAAGTGGTTCTCTCAAGAGCCCTGCACATTTTTTTTGTAGCTCACACTTTTAAGTAATCGTACAGTTACTTAATTGGAAGTTTAAAAAGATTATTCCATATCACTTAGTACAACTTTTAGCTCACAATTAAATAATTGTACATGTTATTTGAATAAAAGTGAGAACTTTAACAAGAGGTTGGTGGCAACCCCTCTTCAGGTGGTTTAATTGCAGTCGCCAAAAATGATAATGAAATAAATAATGATAATTATTAATAATGAACTTTTGAAATAATGGAATTTTTTTTGGGATTGCTACAGACTATGCGCTTCATAAATTTTGTTGACTTCATCGTGCGAGATTATTCATTAGTGACAGATTATTTCCGATTGTACTTGCAACTTGAGAGAATTGCTTTTTTGACCCCTTGTGAATTTCAATAGGGAGCTCCAATATCCACGGTACTTATTAGGGAGCTTTGAATTGGGACAACAACATGAATCTAGAACATAAGTGAATGTGCCCCCTTCTGCGCATTTTGGCAAAAATTTCATCCTAAAATTCAGATGAAGAACTCAAATTCCTAGCATGCTCTGATGACTAAATATCATATTATTTAATGTTCTAGTTACAACCGTCGTTGTCCAATCAAACGCTCTCTACTGTCCGTCTCCTGAACCTAATAATTCGCCATGTTTAGACTTTAGTGTCATGTGACCAGAAATATTGTATAATTCACCTCCTGTTTCATACTTATAAAATCATTAATATTTTTGTCTTTGTATTAAACAGGTTTTTTACATTTATTTTTATATATTTTTTGAGTAGTTTTAACAAGGCTGTTTTCAAGTTGAAAATAGAAAGAAATAATACATCATTAAACTTACGGATACAGAAATCAAAAGTACAATAAAAAGTGAAAAATATACACATCAAATAGCATAAAGTACAATACAAACTGAAAACACTTCATTATTTGTTAATCAAAGTATATAATTAATTTATGATTAGAGTTTTGTTTTACCTCTTCTGATAATTAACATGCAATTAATATGAACAAATACAGAATTTTAAACTATAACATGGAAGTGAATTTTCTTTAACCACCTCAACATCTATTGTAGTAATCACTGCTATGATCCATGTGTTTAACAACTCATGGAAAAATATATTTCATTGGAAACAATCCATAAAAACATATTTTGGAACATAAATTTAATTTACATCAAACTATTTCATCTTTATCTAATACAGCATGTCCACAATAACATTTGGTTTTGCTTTGCTTATATAAATCACTAATTATTACCATCTTTATGGGAGGAGGGACAGGGGTGTTGCTGAGGAAGTGTCTATTTGCACTGTAAGAAGAGGTTAAAAGTTAGCTTAATCAATGAAAAACGGGAGTGGGTGTGTTGTACAACAGATGTTCACAACAGATTGATAGAGAGCAGTGTTGAAGTGACAGTGCAAACAGGGCAGCCCAGATCCAGTGCAAACAGGGGCAGACCAGGTCCCCTGTCAGCCATGAATTTTTAGCCCACAATTTTTTTTCTTTTTTATTACTTATTTAGGCAAAATTAATTTTTAAAACTTTGTATATCTGTTTTGGCATCCACATAAGCGCCCACAAGATTTGTAATTTAAATTTGATAACTGAGTATTCTAAATTAGTTCTCAAATTATATAAAATTACCATAAAAAACATAATTCTATAGACCCTGTTGCCAATATATAATCATAATCATACTGTAAAGTAGTTCAATACAATTTAGTTTAAATTGTTACAGTTATTTCATGCATGAAAGACATTTCTATAATTTATATCACACTTTAAATCCACAAATCACTATAATTCCATCTATATCATTTCTACAATTATATATAATCACATACTTGATTCAGTTGAATCTATGACCTTGCTGTTTTTTTGCTGTTTTTTTTTCACTTTGCTTTCAACATGGCTCTTACTAATTGTATGCAATTCAACAGGATTTTCAATTCATGCTGCATTTTATAATTTAATCTCTTATTGAGATTGCATGAAAAGCCTGCCCTTATTTTTATGCTTACATTGTTCTTGACAAAGATACCAGAATGTAAACTATTAATGCCTTAGGAAATCAAAGCAGAATATAAAATATTTTCTGTATAATCTCTCAATTGTGTAGCTAACAATTGGATCAGTGGTTATCCTCTGAAGAAAAATAATTATACCTTTTCATTACAAGATAAAATAAATCATTTGGCCTTGACCTTAATAAAAAAAAAGTGCAATAAAACATCAGTTGAACCTACGCTTTTTAAAAGTGTGGGTGTTGTCATCTTCACAAAAACATCTCCCACTCATTCATTCCCCCTCCCCCCGTCTTATAATGCCCAGATCTATAGGGGGCCTTGTATGATTTTCTTACTCTTTGTGTGTGTGCAAAGATTACTGAGAGCCTAGATGTTGAATAAACAGATAATACTTTAATATTAAATTCAAATGCTTTGGAAATGCAGGTTTTGGGGATTTAAATGCTTGCCTTATAATCCCAGGATCCTGGGTTCAAATCCTGTGATGACATACTGGCCAAATTGACCAACGCACTCCTAGTATATATCTAAACTAGAAGCAATATTACAAGTACATATTAAAATGATAATCATCTGTAATTATAAGCTGTTATAGATAATTTATGTATGCAGTGATATTTTATATATAAAAACCGATTCTTACTGTATGCTGAATTTTTAAGTTAAGCAAGAAGAGGTATTAAAACTATGAGTTTGCATTGTCTATTAAACATGACAAAATTATTTAGTATTCTCGTGTCAGTTTACATATTAATCATCATAAACTTCAAGACATATTTATTGATCTGCATTGACCATCTACTATAAAGTATCATTTTTTTCATTTATTTGTTTTGTAAAACATTTTACAACCTTTCTTTGGAGTCAAAAATTAGAATAGAAATCAATTATAATTTTGAGAGGCCCATAGTTGAAAAGGTTGAGGAAGGCAATTGACAGTTAAAAAAAAAAAAAAAAAAGCCCACATGTGAATACCACAGACATAATAAAGCAATATACATGTACAACATATTCCATTCCATGTTTATGTACACATCAAAGATATGTTTTTGTTTTTGTCTACACGTCTATAAATCCCATCATCATCATCATCATAAGATTATGCCACAGTATTATTCGTTGTCTTGGAAACCTATACTAACATGTATCACTTTTGGTTTGTTAGTTTGTGATGTTCGAGACAGTCATTACAGCGGTCATGGATGAACTGGAAAGTCACTATTCTGGAATAATGAAGCACAAAAATAAAATCACACTCATAACATGCGTGGTTTCGTTCCTCCTGGGCATTCCATTTGTTACTGAGGTAATTTTTTTTTCTTTTCGTAATTTCAAGTAATACAGTATGTATTAAACTCCTATTTGGCTTGTATATTTGTTGATACTTTTTTTGAGAACAGACACCACGGACAATGGTTAGTATTAAAATTTTGAACCAACTAGGATGCGAATAGAGCCAGTTTCTTCTGTTGTATATGCAGATGGTCATGTGTTGGTCAGTGGTCATGTATTTTTATAGCGCTTTCCATGGTAAAAACCATTTGAAGGCGCTTTTAAGCTGCAAGAAACGAAAAATCTAATTTATGAACAGTCGCGAGCGTGAAGGGGATGGAGGAAGGTGCTCTTTTACTAGGGCACTTGCTCTTTTGTAGGAAATTAGATCCACTTATGTACTGGGTGCAACACCATTACTCAAATACGAATAGGTAATCCTGACTTCTTCATAGGTAATCCTCTTCATTTTTAGCCACAGCCAGTGGCGTTATTGTGACTCTTGGAATGTGGAGGATGAGGGCATGAAGGTGAAATGGGGCCTCTAACTGGCAATCAAGGTGGTACGAAATGTTTCCGGAGTCGGGGGGGGGGGGTGGTGACTGGAAGCGGCAGCTTTTTCTGGTTGGGGGGTGTGGCCCCACGCACCCCCTTTATTTGCTAAACACAAGTGGTAAATAGTGATCGCAATACGCTGAATGTTTTGCAATTATGTAAGAAATTATAATCCAGTTCAGCTTTGACTAAATAATCTTCTAATATCTGATAGATTATACAACTAATTAATCATATTTTTTTTGTTTTATGAACACAGGGTGGCGTGTACCTGATGACACTATTTGACTGGTACTCTGCGGGTGTTTCTCCTATGGTTCTTGGCGTTTTCGAGTGCTACATTATTTGCTGGCATTATGGTCAGTTTCGCAATCATGAATGTCATATTTTAACTATTGATGTAATTTTTAAATGCATATTCATCCTATAAAAGGTGTCTATTCTGTTGGAGATGGTAATATAAAAATTTGAATGCTTTATCATATTGACAGCCAAGGTATTTATATTTGGATCATTTTCATAGTTCCATCACATATACCAGGGCATAAAGGGCGCCACCATCATCCCATCAACTCTATTTTTATATCATTACTTCCGGGTTCTTCCCTGAACCTATAGGGCAAGAGTTAGCGTTATGGCGACCATGGCAAAGCTTGTTAAATCAAGTTGATGTATTCGTAGTATAAGCCGACCTCCTGTATCGGCCTGACCCCTGTTCTACATCCGATGTTTAGCACCAACATATGCATGTATGTTTCATTATCTAGAATGCTATTATAACATGTATTCTGTAACTTGTTACAACTGTTCATTTACAGGTCTGGACCGTTTTGAAAGGGATGTTGCTTCTATGATTGGATACCGACCGTGGATACCTCTGCAAATCTGCTGGAAATTCATCACTCCATTTATAACCTTGGTAAAATAATGCACAGTTTTTATGTAATGTATTTATTTGAGTAAGTGCCTTGGGGTGTTTATTGTTGAGAAGGATTTTTGAGTGGGCGTTTATTTGAGGGAAGCATTTATTTATTTATTTATTTTTTTGGTGAATTGCACAACAAGCAGCCAGGCAGCTGAAAACGTTGAGCTTACAAACATCAAAAAGATGAAACAAACAAGTTAAGCAAGAAATTAAAAAAACCATCAGCAAAAATATATAAATGTAAATAATAATAATAATAATAATAGTAATAATAATAATAATAATAATAATAATAATAATAACAATAACAATAATAATAATAACAACA